ACACACACATATATATATATATATATATATATACACACATATATACATACATATACACATACATATATTCATATACACATATATATACACACACACACACACACACACACACACACATATATATACATACATACAAGCTAGCAATACAAAGTTTCAAACATTGTTTAGAGAAGAAATAAAGCATATAAGTTATTTTTTTAATTTATTTTAAGAGTCAGCAGGATGCGAAACAAAACAGTCTGGATTGTTTCATTTACATTTTCTTGATGTTTTCGTAGTTGATCATTAAAAAAACCCAATTAAATTCTGAGAAGTTTGAGACTTCCATCTCATCATAATGAATTCTCTCCCAGACTCTCAGACAAACATCCCATTTCTTCATATTCTTTAAGCATGGCAGATCTTTAACTTGTCACATAAGTTAACTGATCAATCATCAATAGGAGCACTAGTAAATTCCTTAAAGAATCGACACTTGTGATCATTTTGAAATATACAAAACTAAAATATCGTCTTACCTCAATTTTTCTCATAACAAGCAAACCATCCACCACTTTTCCTGTAAGACAGACCCCGAGCAGTTAATGACGTGAGCAGCAACTCACTACAACGCAAGTTCTCTCACTACAGAGTCAATACAGGATTCGTCTGACTCACCAAATACCACATGCTTCCCATCCAACCAGTCGCACTTTGTGCAGGTGATAAAAAACTGGCAGCCGTTTGTTCCCGGTCCACTGTTTGCCTGCCGGGGGAAAATAATATTTTACATTATTGATTGGAAACAACAGTGAACAAACAATCTGATGGCTAAATGGAGTGTGTTTATCCTTTATCAATGTATCACTTTGTCTTTGATGAGTAATGTGTTCAAAATGTCCACCACAGAAGAAAATGACTTCGCATGACGCTGGTCACATGGTTGTGTGATAAACCATTTTTTAGTTTTCAGGGGATAGTTTTGTTAGTAACAGTTGACAATTTTTGTGGACATGGGTAAAATGAAAATATTTCTTATTTGAAAGAATATTACATTTAAACTATGTTATAAAACTATTTTTCTAAGGTATATGGAAATTTAATACGATAATCTTGAAATTTTTTGACAAAATTTAACATTTTGTATTCATTAAAGTTGGTTTATTTTTTCCTGTTAGATTGTGGAGTAAAATGTGAATTGAAAATATTCCCCACTAGATGCATCTTATAAACACACTGGTAATAACTGGATTTTTAGCACCGTTCATCTAACATCGCTGATATGCTGCCATAAAGCATACTGTGAATGTACATCAAGGGTTTTACAGTGCCAGTGTGTATAGAAGCTTTACCAGAGACAAGAGTCCTGGGCCAGAGTGCTTCATTCTGAAGTTCTCATCTGCAAACGGTCCCCTGTAGATACTGCAGATACCAGTGCCATCCCCCTGATGGACAAGAATATAGTGGTAAAAACAGCTCACACAGAGCCAGAAAATCCGAATCACTCAATAAACTGAAAGACATGTAGGCTAGCTCATACGTGAAACCAAAACTACGTCAAAGCAAACCGAAAATGTAGCTGGGAGTAGCTGTGTCTGTGTGTGAGTGCGTGTGTGTGAGAGCGTGTGTGAGTGCGTGTGTGTGTGTGAGTGTGTCTGTGTGTGAGAGCGTGTGTGTGTGTGTGAGTCTGTGTGTGAGTGTGAGTGTGAGTCTGTGTGTGTGTGTGTACAGTAGGGCCCTATGACCACTAGAGGCAGACAAACACACACAAGAGACAGACTGGAGGCAGACACATAATTCACATAAAACACATGCAGTTTTTTTTTTTTATCATTTACACCACTGGTTCAGTGTACTATTTGATTAAAAACTGCTGTCAAGGTTGCTGTCATAAAGACTCTAATCTTGACACTTTATGTACTTTCAAACCAGTCATAACTCTTTACCATATTTGTAACATTCGTAGCATTTCACGTGCAGTCCAACAATACATGGGTTTTTCAATGTTTTGATTTTTTTCTAATACAGATATTTTTACTGCAGTGTGGTCAATGGCCGATATAAATACAAATTCCTATATAAAAATAATATAATTTATAGATGACAAATGATTAATTCAAAGTTGTAAAATAAAATGAAAATTATTTCACATAATATAATTCCAATTCATTAAAAATATTTGAAATCAGAACCAAACATTTGTAAATATTGTAAATATCAATATTCTGGGGAAACTACAGTGTCTATGTATATAACGCCTCTTTCTTGTTTGACAGAAAAGCGAAAGGAAAAATACAGAGAACTATCCTATAGTTCTCTGTATTTTTCCTTTCACTTTTCTATTTTAGATACACTGTAAAACTATTTTAGGAGTTGTAAACATATTATTGGAGTACATTTTACAAGACGACACTATTTAAGTCTTTCTACTTCAAAATGCAATGTTTAATTCAAAGTGTTATTTGCCGTTTCTTTGTAATCATTTGTGAAATGTACTATCAATTTCTGAGAGAAAACAGTTTCAAAGTAAATCCTACACTATTTTTTTCCCCAGCGTAATTTAGGGAAGCTAGTCATTTCTGTATATTGTTTTGGCCTTGCTCAACCATGAAGTCTAGAAATGATAAGAGCCACGATCACAGAAATCGCCACGATTGCTTCACGATGGCAATCTTTCATCTGGGACAGCCAAAAATCGTGCAGTGTATCCCGGGCTTAAGGCCCTGCACTAAACTAATTTCTGAGAGGGAAAGACTCTGAAAGGGAAAATTATCGCTGTAAATTAATCAAACTAATACAAAAGCTGATGACTGCAAATATAAAGGCACATTCTTGTTTGCCTTATTTGCCCATTTATAAGGCCACATCCTTGTTTAAAAAGATGGATATCATGCATGGCAGTCAATACACAAACAGACCCCGAACATTGTTTGCACACAATGTTCTGAAACATGTCAAAAGCCATACACCTGGAAGATCAATTCGGCTCCATTGTCTGGATCACAAAGCAAAACTTACATTGACAAAATCACCACCCTGAATCATGAAGTCCTTTATCACCCTGCCAAAAGAAAACAGCACACATGAGCAGGTTGAAATTAAAAGCCAAGCCTCTATTGTTTTTGTAAACAAATATTTTGTAATAACCTCTTACATTTCTATGAGTAAAATGTGCAGCAAGACGTGCATTGCTGTAAATATGCAATTGTGATTTTCTTTTAATTATATTATAAGATTGTGATACACAACATTTTTATTGGTCGCTATAAATATACATAAAGCCTTCGAACCAACTTCAGTGCAGTGTAACTTTGCAGTGAAAGCCATTATCTGTATAGACAATATGCGTTTTGAATTGCAAAGGTTCAGGGTGCATTTGCATCCAACATTTGATTAATGAAAAACCTACAACTCCAATCCTCTGATGGACATAAAAGTTTTATACTTAGAATTATGGATTTGAACAAACCTCTAATTAAGAGCAACAGCAATAGCTTGATTAAGCCAACACAACTAATCATTGATATACAATATAACAGTGAACAATACAGACTAAAGTGTCTCACCGATGAAATGTGCAGCCTTTATAGCCTACGGGAACACCGTCCTTCCTACAGTGAATAAAAGCAGCACATGAACAAGGTATATGCAAATAAAAGCAGGACCAGGAAGAAAGAGCTGTGCACACAACATGTTTCCATGAAATACAAGCCGTGTTTAATCTGTAACCTTATCCAGTATTCATGTTTCTTACAGAATGATTTCAACATCCTTAAAAGCATCAGTCACACTAACTCATTAAATTTAATTCGAGTATGTGGTACTATAGGTTCAACTATAGATGTGGTTGAAGCAGCACAGCCCTTTATTAAAGGCATAGTTCACCCAGAAATCTAAATTTGCTGTTAATTTACTCACCCTCAGGCCATTCAAGATGTAGGTGACTTTTCTTCAGTAGAACAGTAAAGAAGATTTTTAACTTGCAGACTAATTTGACTTCACAAGACCTCAATATATCACCAGAAGCCACAGGTATTAATTTTGTGTTGCGTGTATGCTTTTTTTACTCTAGTTTTATGAATCACCAAGGACCAGTGTTTCAGTTAAAAGTCTTCTTTACTGTTTTAATGAATATAACAAAAGTCACCTACATCTCGGATGGCCTGAGGGCGAGTCAATTAACTGCAAATTGTCATTTTTTGGGTGAACTATCCCTTAAATTCACTGAAATCTGACTTACTTGAATTCACCAGTACAGAACTGCCTGAAAGACACAGAAAGAAAAACAGATTTACATCTCTGTTATGATGCCTGCAGCAACTGCACCAAAATCTAGACATTTAGAAGAGACAATAGATTAGCATGCAAGTAGTGAACACATTTTGCATAACGCACACTACAGATTAAATGATTCACTCAGCTTATGATGCGATACGATTCACGATATCGATTTTCTCACATTTTTTTTTTTTAACAAAAGATTTAAGACAAATTATAAATTAAAAGGTGTCCTTTTATTATTGCTTGGACAAAATGCTGCACGTCTTAAATTGAAATATGTCAAATAACAAAACTAAATTGAAATGTTAAAACGAACCCCAAATCAAGTAAGTAAATAACACAAATAAAAGAGATCTCTTCATATAAACAGACTAAGGCTTTTCTTGTGCTCTTTCCATTTAAAATTAGAGGCAACCACTGTATTTTAACCACGAGCCAAACAAAGATGCTACATACATGCAGCATGAGCAGTTTTTAATCTAAATTACATTGTATAATTTTGAAATTTGAAACAAAAAACAGAATGGTCTGACTCTAGTTTTGTGAAACGATACTACATGAAACATCTGCACAACAAAAGCAGCAGATAGGCTAAATGATCATGCAAATCACTCTCTGCCATCAGCAGATGGCACTTCCTTGGTTACTGCTGTAAACAAACCAGCGCTGCTTAAATACCAAAGCCATGGGAAAGCAAACTTGCAACCTTTAGCCAAAAAAAGCATAACGGCAAATGCTATCACTGCGGTGCAGAGGAGACGATCAGACGCGGGTTTTTTTATTTTTTTATTTTTTTGAATGGATGTCAATGGAAGAGAGGCTTCACTACGCTGAATAAACAGCTTTTGAGAGGAAACTAAATTATTGCATTAAATTGTATGTTGTTTAATGAAAATAAAATGTTCTTTCTATTGCTTCCAAGTTTCAATAAATAGACTTCAAATATAATGACTGCTGCACATGATAATGATATAACGCTTTTTAATGAATAAAGGGGAAAACATATTTTAATACATAAAAAGGTATTCTTTGGCTTTCAGATTTCAACAAATATATTACATCTTTAGTGACTAGTGTCAGTGTTATGTATGCCCAATGGTGCTGTTTTTTAAACGAACAGAATTCAGGCTCTTTTTTTTTTTTTTTTACTGTGCAACGTAAACAAAGCCGGCGCGAATTTTTTTCGGCGTGCATGTTAACAAATGAGTGTGCATTCACACCGGGAGCAGGAGCAGCGCGTGAGCGTCACGCCCGTTTCACACCGCACGCGTAAGCAGTGCTTTCACACTGGCAGCGTTTGTCGCGCAGACTATCGTTCATTCGATCACGCTTTTCAGGTGTTCTCCATCATGTGCTTTGATATGAGCAGCATGCTGTGATGCGGCCGTGTTCCCCTCTGTCACGTGCATATAACATGCTGTACATATAGTTTACATGATAAAAAGAAATCTTAAAGTTAATAAATGCCTCTAGTTTTAATAATTTAAACAGGCCTTTGAAGTTTGGGCAATACCTCCTGGCAGTGATGTGTTTTCGTAGTTGATTCTGTGCTAACTCTAATATATATTTTGTCTTTTTTTAATGTTGTAGATTTAAGTAGCAAATTAGAATCGCTAAATTTATTGAATATATTTTCAGACAAAGGTCTTAATGATTATCAGTTTGGTTTAAGATAATTAAAGCAACAGTTTTTCAATAACTAGAAGAATATGTAAAAGTATGGTATTTGGGGTAAAAGCGCCCCTGCTGTTGGGGCGAAAGGCACAATAATTAACATGATAATTAATAGATGGCTGACTTTTCCAATTGTTGACATGACACATGGTTAGATTCAGATGGTAAATATCATATAGCCTATTATGTTGGGTGTCCACCTTAGAGATAATCACCATGTTTATAATGAAACCATCATATTTAAAAACATGATATTAATCATATCATATAATAAAATATAATTTGTTGTTACTACTGTAAATCTATATTAACTTATGGGATCTCCTTCAATGCTTTCAGAATCTACTTTTTTGTTTCTGTATTTTAAAATATATTTTTATATTAACATTTTAATGACAGTATATTTATTGAACATTATTTATCAAAATACGCAGAAAATAGCCTAGTACAAACTTTGCTAAAGTGATTGTTTTGAACAAGTATTAACTTAGACATTAGTATAAAAAAATATTTTAGCTAAAGTATTTATCAATACTGTGTGCCTTTTATCCCGTGATTGTGAAACACAAAACACCGCACATGATTTTACAGTGAAATGTGTCATTTTTCATGTTTCATGTTAAAAAGAAAAATGCACTGTGGCTTTAATTCAGCGTAAGCGGCGCAGCAAAAATAGACTCGGCGCCGAAACTATCTGCCGCTTCTGCTCTGCTCCTGCTACGCACTGCCGCGCCGCCTCTGGGTGCGGTGTGAATGCTCTAATCTGTTAACATGCCGAAAAAAATACGCGCTGCTTACGCTTTGCTTATGCGTGCGGTGTGAAACGGGCGTCACCCCTGATTTACACTGCACACGTCTGCGGTTCAGTTACAGAATCGAAGCTATAGACACAATAAATGCACATGAAACATACTGACATCTTCAACATTTGGCCTAATAAAAATATTATGAACGCTCCGCGTGTTCACCTTGGTTAGAAACACACCTTGTAGCTTTTTAAAATTAATCGCTATGAACAAATAATGACTTAAACATAATCATAAACAAACTCTTCTAAAGACAGTCAGCTCCCCTCACACAGTTGTCGTGTCGCGCCGCATTCAGTGTTAACAGCGTCACTGATTATAATGGGTTCTATTGTACTTTGTCGCGTTGCGCCGCACGCGTCCGGTGTAGACACGGTGTCAGAGACACATTCATATAAACTCCTATCCCCAGTTGTATCGCGATTTGTGTAACATTTCAACCGATTTGAATCGTTACATATTTGTATCGATTTTCAAACGGCTTGGGGTTTGGGATGGGCGTATCGATGCTGAAGTATCGATATATTGATAATAGTATCGATACTCAAAAAAATCGATACTGGTGTGTTCTTTACCAGTGATTTTATTTAACAAAAAATCATGCGTACAATATGCATTAAATAGGACGAATAACCTATGCTAGCGAATAATTGTGTAGGATAGAACTATTTTCCGCACATCTGAACGCATGTAAATGTTGCAAGACAGAACCAATCAAATCAACTCGCCAATCAACTCACTTCTGACAGTACATTCAAACAGGGCTGCATTTCCCAAAAGTATCTTTTCTAGTATCATGTTCTATTCTGTTAATATATATATATATATATATATATATATATATATTTTTATGCATGCAACAGCCTGTCACTGGCAGTCCCTTATGAAAATGAAACATGGTTTTCGGAGCGTATTCTGGGTTTATGCATGAAAGCATTGCGGAATCGTCTCACCGAAAATTTTCCGCAGTCTTTGGAACGATGTCTGCAAATAGCTCTATCTTCATTCTGCCCACTTCCTGGAAAAAATAAAAATAAATTCAAAATTAAACAAAAGCTGATTACAAACAAAGAGGAAAATATTCACAATTGCATTGACCGTGACAATGTACAGTACATTTGATATTCAAATCTAAGTTATTGCATTCTGTGCTGCAGTGACAAACAATATGAGCTTTTTAGCCATCTGTAAAACTAAATGCAAACAAGCAAACAAATAAAAATACAGAAATTAAAATTAAGGATGTGAGGCATTAACCACGGATGGATGATCTGTTGTGTGCTTGTGGAACAAATGAATGAATGCATGTTGTTGTTGTCCTACATGAGCACACATGAGAAATGAAGCGTGCGAGTTGGAGCTGTCACAGCCCCGCGTGAGTTAGGCTGGCCGTCGTGTCGTAAAAGAGCTGCTTGTTTAGACTCAACTAATGGATGAATCCACTGCCGCGTTAGTGCAGAATTTCTCTGTTCTGTGGATGTTTGCGATAGTCATGAAGATGTTGTTTCCAACAGCCTGAGAATGCTTCTGACATTATGGTGTGAGTTGGAGCTGTCACAGCCCCCGCGTGAGTTAGGCTGGCCGTCGTGTCGTAAAAGAGCTGCTTGTTTGGACTCAATCCACTGCCGCGTTAGTGCAGAATTTCTCTGTTCTGAGGATGTTTGCGATAGTCATGAAGATGTTGTTTTCAACAGCCTGAGAATGCTTCTGACATTATGGTGTTTTCTCCTGCAGTTTTATCACAAGGAAGAGGGGTTTCATCGCAAAGGTGTTGAATCAGGAGCGGTAACAGGTACGACTGTCAAAAACTAGGATAGATTTTAAACTAAAAAAAGCTCCATGGTAACTGACTAATTGATCAGTCTTGGTCATTTGGAGAGGATCTAACTCAGAGAAGCAAAGAAATGCTTGTACATTGACTGTTAACCAACACTTATAGTTATAAAAAAGTAAATCCATCCGTGAAGAATGGGCACTTCATATAAAGATAATTCTGAACACTGAAGCTGAGAATCAAGAGAAATTTGTAAAACCTTTGTTTGGAAGGAAATGTGAGTGGTACTTGCAAAATTAAGGACCACCCTGATGCTTTTGTTGTGGGTGGTTGCCAGGGTGCTGCCATGCAGTTGGTAGGGAGTTCTGGATGGTTGCTAGGGCAGGGATAGGTAGCTGTTTATGTCCCAAGTTAAAAGAGCAACTCCTCTCCCCACGTTTCTATATTTGGGTCTCTAAAAACGATCTAGATCCCTCCTTCAATGCAAATCTACAGGATTCTGATCTTTTCACACATTTCATCATCTGTTAGGCAACATCTGAACTCTGTTTGCTTTTAAAATAGATTATTGCTGGTATTGTGCATGATTCATAAATGCATGTTATTGCAATGAAAAACATCAAAAAAAAAAAAAAAAACAAGCTGACAGACGCTCTAAAGCAGTGGCCCCAAACCTTTTTAGGCCCAACGAAACTTTTCTCAAGACAGTTCCCTTCAGTGATACATTAATATAACCCCAGAAATGTAATGAATTTTTGTACTTATTTTACTGTTTTTTTTCGGGATCTACTGGGACAGTGATAAAGATCTACCAGTCGATCGCGATCGACGGGTTGGCGACCACTGCTCTAAAGCTATATGTTTATACTTTTCCCAAGCACCACACCGCGACTAGATCAAACTCTAGATCTGTTTATAGTTGACTCACTTGTGGGCAATTTGAAGAAAAAATCTCTCTAAACCAACTAGAAGCAGTGGTGAGCTGTAGTTTGGAGAAATGTTGTCAAAACGTAAATTTACTTTTTGTTTTAATGTCAAACATGTCTTGGAAAGATTTAAAGATTGTTTTGAAAGGATGTAGAAACTTACATAATCAAGGATGTTTGATTAAAATTGAATGGAAAAAAATGATTAAAAGGGGGGAAAGTGTATTTGATTTTTGACTTTAAAGAAATTAAAGAAATATATAATATATTAAATATTAATATTAAAGATAAATATAAATAATTAAAGATAAATATTGGGAATAAAGACAAAACATTTTAACGTTATTAAAATATAAATGTCTATTTATAGTACAGTTAATAAAACACGCGCACAAGTTCAGTGTCACCAAAAAGTAGATTTTTGTTTTTTTACCAAAATGTAAAGAACATAAGCTTTTGTATAAATACAGCAAGTATTTGATTTACTGATCATATGTAAACATTTATGCGTGAAAACAAATAAAAAGTTAAATGCATAAAGACCACAAGGTTTTGTATTGTTCAGCATTAAAAAAAAAACGGAATCAAATACCTTCATTAAAGGATTAGTTCACTTCTGAATTAAAATTTCCTCAATTTTCTCACCCCCATGTCATCCAAGATGTTCATGTCTTTCTTTATTCAGTTAAGGTTAAAAAGTACATAATTTTTATTCTTTTTTAGAAAATGACCTATCGTTTCGCTAGATAAGACCCTTCTTCCTCGTCTGGGATCGTGTAGAACACTTTGAAGCTGCAATATGGACCTTCCACCCAGTGAACCCCACTGAAGTCCACTATATAGAGAAAAACCCTGGAATGTTTTCCTCAAAAACCTTAATTTCTTTTCGACTGAATAAAGAAAGACATGAACATCTTGGATGACATGCGGGTGAGAAAATTATGAGGTAATTTTAATTCAGAAGTGAACTAATCCTTTAATGCATAAGAACTATTTAAATGCAATAGTTGCTTACATACTTCCATATAAAAAAAACCTCTACTTACTATACTGTCTCTCCTACACACATACATATACAGAAGTATACGCACTGCCCTACTTTCATTTCTCAGTAATGAGTTTAGTGCCAACTGAGAGCTGGACAGACGCAGGTAAGATACACAGACACACACACACTCTCTATCCACATGGAACTGGAGACAATCACTGAAATCTTGGAAATGAACACACACTGAAGGCGTAACTACCTCGCAAAGTGGCCATGTGTGTTATTTTCCAAAAATTCAATTGATTATGAAACTCTATATGCTTCAGGATTAGTACTAATGTAGCATGATGGTATACTACCCAAAAGATGGCTTTAAAAACCGCTGAGATATGATATGTCCTAATAATATTCTGCGGTCTCCACCCACAGCTGAAGGGACTCTGAACAGAAATACAAAGACATGAAGTCGCATTACGAGTTGCGTTACTAGTTGAATCACACACTCTAATTATCTAAATACCGGGTGTTATTTCATGGATTTAGAGCATTAAGAAAAGCATAAACCAAAAACAATCACTTAATGTTAATCCTCATGTAAGTAGCAAAAGCATACATGAGTGAGGCAAAAAAAAAAAAAAGGCAACACACAACTTGCAATAAATTCTGTATGGTTTTAAAAAGAGGGTGACATGGGCAGAGTCCACAGAGGTCAGGACCGCCTATTATTGTCCAGGAAAAGAATGTATTTACAGGTAAATGGGTGTGGTTTCAAGAATGTGCTCATTTCCTCACCAGACACGACTTGCTAACAGACACTCATCACACTGATGGAGCTCATGACTGTGTGCCAGGATCACAATGTCTACAATTTCATAAGGTATCTCATTGGTTTTTATTATGTTATTATATTGCTGTCATGTGAACATCTTTCTATGACTGGGATAGACCTATTTGGAAAGCTTAAAAGAAACAAATATTGCATTAAGCAAGGTTATTGTGAGCTTCTTTTAAAGCAGCACCTCCGTTCAACTACATTTGTGACTAGCAATGAATGCAACTAAAGTGGCAGACCACAAAACCTGCTCGTCAGGTTTGTACAAGAGACCAGTTCGTATCACTCTCATCAGCAGGGTGCTAGTTTAACATTTGACTAGGAGTACTGGTTACGTTTTTTTTTTTTAAAGATTGTTATGTAAGTTTACATTTACAAATATATTCTACATCTCTACATTTATGTTGTTTGAGCTACAGGGACGTAATAAAAAAAAGCACTGGAAAAATTTGACTTAATATTAAGCTTATTGGAAATCTAATTTGAAATGGTAAGATTTGTGGTTAATATAAAACGTTTACATTTTTCAGTTACAGGTGGCATTAAGCAACAGCAGTTAATCATTTAGAATCAAGTATACGAATCAAATTTCAATCACATTTTGTAACCATTTGAATGTTTTTTCGGCAAATGACCTGTACATATATAACAAATAATATTTGTAAATGGTATTAATGAATGCTATTATAAAGTCTTAACAATACAACAATATAACTAATGAGATGCACATAAAATACATTTTATGCTATTTTACACAAAACAATAATTATAATAGCAATAATAACGACATAGAAAAACAGGTGAGGACAAAACACAACCGATATAATTGCTCCAACATAGATAAGAAACATAGAGCAAAAACTTTTGTTTTATGCTGTATAACATAATTTTGGCCTTACAGGTCCAGGTATATAAAAATGAAGAGGGGGGGGGGTGTAACTGTACCACTGTACAATAGCCTATAGGTAATGGTATATGTTTCATGTTTACATTGTGCACTCCCCACCTATTCTGATTGTTTGAATCTTGTTTTTAAGCCCATAAATAATAATGTACTCGTTCTAATAAATTTATTGTAATGTACTCATTCTAATATATTAAAATCATCTTAACATTGCTGGTAGGTTATCATTGCACAAATCAACACACTCTCTACGTTTAAAAAATAAAAATTAGAAGTGTTCTAAACTAATGCGCTGTCTTCACTGTACCTCACGCACACACGTTTAGTCAGATCACTCTGATCACGCGCGCACAGACATTCTTTTTCGCGTTTAGACAAACTTTTTAGCGCTGCCCCCGCAATTTTATCAATAAAATAGCTTAATAGCTGAAGAGCTACATTATCTTTCTCAACAAGGAGCTGGTAACATCATTGTTTCTACAGGAATTAAAGCCTCAGCTTCACTGTTAATAGAGAAACGCGGCAAAACGGTGGTAATTCATACATACACAGCCTCTCTCTTTCTCTCTCTCATAAATGAACACTCGATGAATT